AACGGCACCCGTTCCTGGGATTTCTAGATTCTTGCTGGCCTGCTTTCGGGTGCTTTCCCCACAATAGTCCCAGCCTTGACAAGGTCCAGAACGAATGCGGTTGAACCTTGTGGGGAGGGAACAAGGAGCGTTTCTCCACCTGTCTGTGTTAGTCTGGAGTTTGCAGCGTACAACCTCAAGGTGTCCTGGCTCAAGTCTCAGCAGGGATGGAGAGCAGACAGACAGTGATGCATCCTCAACCCACCTTCCAGGACCACGAATTCCTGGTCCCAGGACTTGGAGAACACGAGGGACCTAGCTCCGAGAGAGTCTTTTCTCAAGGCCCGCCATGCGAGGGTGGGTGGGAGTCCGGCACACCGGGACTTGGAAATATTGTGTTCCCTAGCATGTGGCAGCTGACATAGGTCCCACTGCAACACAAGACCTTCCTTCCCAGAGCAGGATCTCACAGACAGCTACAGTAACAATAGGACAGTTTGAACAGGACCGAAGTTGAAAATACCAGATGGAATTGGGAGGAAATGAAAGAGAAGTAGGGCTGGAAGAAGGGGAGAGGAGGCGGCATTTTGTTCTTCACATGCTATTCTTGCCGCTAGACTAGCAAGAAGACAGTGAGGAGCTAAGCTCACTATGAACCCTGATTTCGTGAATATTGGACCATGCTATTAAGGGACAAACAAGGGGGAGTTTTACTTGTTTGCTTCATTTATTTTATTTTCTAATGAAATCATCGTTCCAACGCCAATCCCCTACCACTGTCCACTTCCTTCTACCAATGTCCCCAGTTTCCCTTCAGCTCAACAGGGGGTGGGGGGAGTTTTTGTGAGCCTCTAGTCTCAACAACTTCCTCAATCAATAAATATATAACTTTATTCCACAGGTGGTTTTACCTTATTTTAAAAAGTGATTTCAGAAATCTAATTAAAAAACTGTGATTTGGGGTTGGAGTTATAGCACAGCGGGTAGGGCGTTTGCCTTGCACGCAGCCAACATGGCAGACACAGGTTCGATTCCCAGCACCCCATATGGTCCCCTGAGCACTGCCAGGAGCAATTCCTGAGTGCATGAGCCAGGAGTAACCCCTGAGCATCGCCGGGTGTGACGCAAAAAGCAAAACAAACAAACAAACAAACAAAAAAAAACAAAAAACCCCCCTGTGATTTACAAAGTCCTAGATCCTTATTAGCCTGCCAGCAGTCCCAGAGTCAACAAGGCCTGGAACTAATGAGGGAACCAAAGGGCATTTGATAGTTGAGTTTTAGGTTTGTAATACTTCAACACCAATCCTACCACCAGTGTCAACTTCCCGCCACTGGTGTTCCTGACCTCCATCCTAACCCCCAGCCCCCGTCCCACTCCACAGGCACATTAAGAAGTTCCAGTGTTACAGCTAAGAGCTCCTGTTTTCAGTTTTGTTGAGTCTGTGTTTTGGATATATGGCTACTCACCCATATCACCAGTGTAACTGAAGCTCTGTTGCTTGCTGACCCACTACTTCCTGTTCACTTCACCCCCCCCCCCCCCCGCCCCTTGATTTCTTTCCTTCTCTGAAGGACACCTTATTTAATAGACAGTGCTAATTCATTAACACGGAGCTCGCAACCAGTAGTGCCACAGTGCATATCTGGACAAAGCTTACCTGAGATAGAGCACATCCAAATTTTAGGAATACTGGACTTAACATCTGAGCACAGCCTGCAGCCTGGCTTTAACAGCAAAAGCACCATCAAAAAGCACAGATGCAAGTGCAAAACAAATTCAAAAGCAAAACAAAACCCAAATGACAACAAAGAGACCACAAGAACACTGACTTACAGCTTCAGAGCTAAAACAGAAGGCAGAGTGTCACTTTTTTTGTTTGTTTGTTTCTTTTTGGGTCACATCTGGCGATGCACAGGAGTTTCTCCTGGTTCATGCACTCAGGAATTACTCCTGGCGGTACTCGGGGAACCATATGGGTTGCTGGGAATCGAACCTGGGTTGGCCGCGTGCAAGGCAAACGCCCTACCCACTGTGCTATTGCTCCAGCCCCAGAGCTTTTGATCTCAGCTGGGAACATATGATTTCACCATTTCATAAAGGTCCATGGATGACTAGAGAAGTGCCTCAAGTATTGATTTTGGGGACTACCAATCAATCTTAGTAGGTAGGCAGATTTGCAAAATTTGCAAGCACGGAATTCATAAACTTTGAAAACTGAATCTGTGTGTACATGTATTTGTGTACGTTTGTGTGTGTGTGTGTGTGTATGTGTGTATGTGCTTATCAACCAAAGTCAAACCAAACAATAATAGAAATGTTGGCATTCCAGAAAGCATGACTGACTCAGTCATCAAGATAGGAGAGTGAAGACAGGTCTGCCGATAGTGCCAGACCTCAGAGCCAGGATCAATCTCTCCTGGGACATGGAAAGGGGTGGAGGGTCGATTGTAACAGCATAGTCTGCCCACAGGCAACACAGCCAGACTGTGGGTCTGTGGTAACATGGACACCTAACCCTGTCATTCCTGTCTGTTTTCCCTTCCCACACTTTGCATAAGGGAACCTGTTTCCCTTCAACCAGGTGCCTAGACCCAGCCTAGTCCCCAGGGTTCACAGCCATTTGTGTGTCTGACCACAGTGAGCACAGAACAACAGGGTTCCGAGTCACTCCAGTGAGGAGTTGACTTCCTACATGTCATCACCCCATGAATATCTCCGAAGTGTCTTGTCTCCCAGAGCTGAATCCCAGGTGGACGTGGTGGTAAGAGAAGGGACTAGAAGGTGCGGGTTGTCCATGAATTAAGAAAAACAAACCAACCCAAGGGATCTTGAAACTTGTGAAACTTTGGGGCTGCAGGTTGGGAAGATAAGACCATTGGTGAAAATCTCTACATTTCTGACTCTCCTTTGGAGCCCAATGCCTGACTCTAGAGGCTGGTTAGAATCTGATGGTAGACTGGAGCAACAGTAGGTGGGACGCTTGCCTGGCACATGGCCATCCTGGGTTCAACCCCCATTACCACATGTGGTCCTCTGAGTCCTGTCAAGAGAAATGCCTGAATGCTGAACCAGGTGTAAGCCCTGAGCAATTCCAGGTGCGCCCAATGCACATATAAACACACACACACACACACACACACACACACACACACTTCCACATATATATGACAGAGGTGTGTCAAAGAATAGAAACAAAAAGCGGATGAAAAAATAATAAGGCAAGCACAGCAGACAAAGTGCTGGCCTTGCATACAGCTGACCTGGGTTTGATCCCAGGCACCATGTCTTGTCCCCTGAGCCCTGCCAAGACTGATCCCTGAACAAAGGGTCAGTAGTAAGCCTTGAGCACTTCTTGGTATAGCCCAAACAAAACAAAATCCCATAAAAGGAGGGTGAAGGGCCAAGGAGATTTCTGTTTATTAGGGCAGGATTCCACTAAGGACTTCAGTGTTGGCACACTGGACTCTGAAATTACATGTATATTTAATGTAATTAAATATTCTGTGTGTATACCTGTCATTGTATATCTGTCATTGTGCTGACTCTCATGCTAACCCTGTATAGTGGAGGAGTCAGATACCAATGCACCCAGGTGGTTAGTAGAGGTAACTGAAACAGAGGAATCATCAGATTTGAATAGGGGCCAGAGTGGGTTGGGCCGGTGTGGCTTGCCTTGTATACAGCCAACCCAAGCCAACCCAGGAGTAAGTTCTGAGTACTGCTGGGTAGGACCCCAAAACCAAATATCTCTCTGAAAAAACCCCAAACCCCAAAGATTTGACAGGACAAACAATGAACGGTATATACACCCGCACCACAACCCACATTTCTGATTGGTTTTACGGCAGGAAGCCAGCCCTGCTGTCAGTGTCCAGCACCTCATTATCACTTAGCAGATGGCCCTTTATCCTCAGGTCTTGGCCTCCAAAGGCCCAAGTGGTACCGAGGACACCCAGGGAGGTTCTGGAAGACCCACCGCTCAGGAAAGCAGGCTGCAGGCTAGAGGAGCCAGAGACACAGCAGAGGCTGGGAGTTAGGGATGCGGTTGGTCTGGTTCCCCAAGGTGGGGGAGAGCCTGCTGGGAATTCAGGTCCGTCACCGGCACCAGGCCAGTCACTTAACGGCCACAGAAGCCTTGTGGCCCCGTGACCACCGGGGACAGAACCCTGGGGTCTGCTAGCTCCAGAGACAAAGCCTGGGTAGGTTACAGAGCCTGCATTTGTGGGGAGTCTGCAATCCTTGGATTGGAGGAGGGCACCCCACGAGCCCCCAGTTCTGATTCACTCTGCCTTGGAGTTGGGGAGGCAGACTCACCTCGGGTCTCATCACGGGCCTGGTTTGCTCTTTCTCCTCTGGACAGCTAAAGCTCTGATCTTCACTTTACTCCAAAATAGTTGATCTCATAGAAGGTCCTATGGCCTGCCTCCTTCCAAACCTCTCTCTTCTCTCCTTCACTGACATACGCCAAATACTAATTTATCCCGCTCATCAGTCCCATTCTGCAGCTCATCACTTTGCTGTCCTCTCTCCCTGGCTTTCTTCCAGGACTTTCCCCCTTTCTGTTTGCACGCGTCAACTTGGGCTCACCCTCCAAGAGAAGAAGGTTGCTCCTCCCAAATAAGAATGAGTGACAGCGCCTGCACATGCCCAGGTTGACCAGGGTGAAGATCTGGAAGACCAGCTGGGGGGGGGGGGCAGCTGCCTGGGTTCTCAGAAGCAACACAACTTGGGGGGAGGATCTTGCCATGACCACTGACTGGCTAAGAGGATCACCCCAGAAAGGGTACAGGGGCCATGGGCCTAAGGGGCAATGGAGAAGAGGGGGACCTACAGAGCACACCCACGAGGGCAGCCTCTGGAGGTCCTGCAAACCCAGCCAGGCCTGAGAGGGTGGGAGGAAGAACGCAGCCCGCCCCCGCAGCCTAGTGAGACCTGGACTGGAGAGGAGGCAGATGCCGGGGTTCTCGGCAGGTAGGCGCTGGCTGTCTCGCCTGGCCCAGCCTGCAGGGGAGACTCACCTGAAGAAGCCTTTGCATCCCTCACAGGTCATGGCGTTGAAGTGGAAGCCGGTGGCTCGATCTCCGCACACCCCGCAGATCCGAGGCACGTTCCGGTCAAAGTCGCCAGGGTCAGGCAGGGAGGTGCTGGCCGCCATGGCCTCCATCCCTGCGAGAAGCACAGGCCACCGGCGTCAAGCAGGGCCCAGGCAGGCATCCTGGGCCTCTCCCTCCCCCATGCGCTGGGAAGTCGTCCGAAAGCTGAGCAGCGGGCAGTGTCTAGGATTTCTTTTTTCCGGTTCTTTTAGGCCACACCCAGCTGTGCTCAGGGCTGACTTCTGGCTCTACATGCAGGAATCACTCCTGGCAGGGCCCAGGGGACCATGGGGGGTGCCGGGGTTACTCAGTAGGCCATGTGCAAGGCCAATGCCCTGCCCACTGTGCTATCCCTCCGGTCCTCTGAGCAGGATTTCTCTGGGGCCCTTTTTCTCGAAGCTTGTCCTGATCCTCTGTGGCTTTGGACTCCCTCCGCTGTGGAGAAAGCCCAGTGGGGAAGCAGCTTTTTGCCAGGCCTGGACCCAGGCTGCCTGCATTAAAAGGCTGCAGACTGTTTTGGCAGAAATCTCTCCAGATTTAAGTGTTAAAATCTTGGAATTTCAAAACTGTGCGGCCACTCCTGCAGCCACGCGACATCACATGTTATTCACAACCAGTAATAGAAAACAAATTGTCTACGGTTCTCTTTTCAGCAGATCTGAGTGTTGTGGTAAAATCTGAAATAATAACGGTGGGTCTGGTGTCAAAATATTGAACGTGATCAAAGTAGAGAGAGACAGAGAGAGAGAGTAAAGTGGAAATCATCTGCCCCACAGGTAGGGGGAGGGTGTGAGATGGGGGTATACTGGGGTTGTTGGGGGTGGAGAATGGGCACTGGTGAAGGTACGGGTGTTTCATTGTATGATCAAGACTTAGACCCGAAAGCTTTGTAACTGCTCTCATGGTGATTCAATAAATAAAATGATAAAAAATGGAAAAAAAAAGTAAGGTGGAGTTCATGCCCAATTCAATCAGCTAATCAGTGGCTGAATAAATAGCAGTACTCCTACATAAAAAAAAGAAAAGGCTGCAGATGCAACAGTAGGGAAGGTGTTTGGCCTCCGCACTCCCCTCTGCCCTTGTCTGAAGAAGGTGACTGACTTTCGAGGGTGTGAGGTGATGCAGGAGCAGGGTGGGTGGCTTGCTGGCCTCTGTCCTGCACATCTCCCTCAGAGAAAAAAGGGGGTCCCTCCAACAGCCTCAGACCTCATGTGTTGAGAGGACCCATCACCCCCCCCTTTTCCTGAGCGAGAGCTGAAGAGATCACACACCCCATCAGAGCCCAGCTTCCCCCAGCCACTGGCCCAGGAATGAGCCTGGGGGTCTTGCCCCTAAGACCATCAGAATCATCTGCAGTATAAAGCGAAAGTGTGACATGGAGTTTGGAGGGACTTCTGAGCAAGATGAGTCATGGGCTGATAGCAGACTTTGGATGGCTTTTATCAACAGGCGTTATCACCCGCAGTGGATCAGCTGAGCAAGTGGAAAAGACACGGAGCAAACAGTATGGCCTGCCCGGGGAACTCTTTCTCCCGAGGCCGCGGGCACAGGGGTCCTCAGCTTCATCTGCTCCTCTGTCTTCTGGGTCCCTCAGGCCAACCCCAAACAGTTTCAGACTTGCTTTCCCCCCAGTCACGTCTGAGTCCTCCTAAACAACACAATGGTTCAGGGATTCTTCCCGGGTCAGAGGAGAAGTGATAGAAAGCAAGCGTGAGGGGACAAGTGTCCCCTCATGCCCAGAGTCAGGTGTCCTCCACCCTGAGGTGAGAGGCAGCAGGGTTGGGAGTGCTTGGTGGCTGTGAGCGTCTTCCTTCTTTCCAGGCTGTGGCTTGAGACACCCCCAGTAGTGCTCGGGGGCTACTCCTGGTTCTGTGCTCAGGACTGATCTCTGGCAGTGCTCAGGAATCATATTTGGTGCCAGACTAGAACCAGGGTCAGCGGGATGAAAGGGAAGTACCTTACCTTGTATAATCTCTCTGGTTTATAGCTTCTTTTCCCTTATATTTTAGTCTTTGGGCCACACCCGGTGATGTTCAGGGTTTACTCCTGGCTCTGCACTCAGGAATTATTCCTGGTGGTTCTCAGGGGCCCATATCCATATGGATGCCAGGGATCCAACCTGGTCTGGCCACTGACAAGGCCAATGCCCTACCCACTGTACTATCTCTCTGGCCCCTGGCCTTAGAGCTTTTGTTTTAATGACTGACATGATGTCTGGGCTGGGGTTGGCTTATTAAAGACCATGAGACTCCTGTTTCACCTTCGTGTCCCTCACAGGGCTAAGCACACTTAATTTTACTCTCTTTACAAATGAGCCTCAGAGAAGCCCATGCCTTGAGGAAGCTCTAGCAACTGAGATTACAAAATACACAATACTAACACCCAATTGTGTCTAAAGTTTTATAAAGAGTTTCAGATCAAGAAAAAAAAGTGGTGCAGAGAGGGACGGACACTTTCCAAAGAAGGTCAGGAGTCTCTTACCACAGACATAGCGTCTGTTCTTTCTGTCTCAGTTTTTCTTTCACTGGATCTTTATAATAATAATAATAATAATATAATAAACACTGCTGCCTTTTCCTTTCACAGGTGATTGATACTAGCTTAACTAGAAAGTATTAGGGCTGGAGCTATAGAGGTACAGGAGAATTCAGGCACTTTCCTTGCAGGTGGCCAACCTCATTTCAATACCTGGCACTGCATATAGTCCACTGAACACTACCAGGAGTGATCCTTGAACACTCTTAAGTCAGGGAGTGACTCTAAATCAATAAATAGAGGCTGGAATGATGGTACAGTAGTGGGTAGAGCACTTGTTTTGCACGTGGCCAACCTGGGTTCTACCCTGGCACCACATGTGGTTCCCTGAGTACTTCCAGGAAGGATCCCTGAACGTGGAGCCAGGAGTCATCCCTGAACATCACTGGGTGAAACCCCAAAACAGACAAACAAGACAGAAAATACAACCAATACTTAAAATAACTGTAGAGAGAGAAAGGGAATGGGAGGCACTCACAGGCTTGTTTGACAGAACTTTGCGAGGGGGAGGGTTGGATTGGAGAGGGGCTTGCAGAGACTTCATGGAACTGCCAGATTCTATTTTTAGGGGTGGTATATGGTCTTTTCCTTTCTTAAGCACTTTTCAAAAATGTGTAATGTGCCTGTCTAGGTCCATAAAACATGCCGTACTTTAAAGCAATTACAAAAAGAATCAGGCCTGTGAGTCTGCAACGTGGTTCCTGTAACCCACCCCAAGTCAAAGTCCAGACATCCGGAGTGCCCCTGAGGCCCCAGACCACTATGGGGCAATAAAAGACATTCTCTAGGATGCTTGTGGTTTAACCTCAGTCTGCAGAGATGTTGCAACACCTAGTCATTGTCGCGTTGCTAGAGTCTGTGGCACCCAGGAGAGCCAGTGGATTTGGTGAGGAAAAGAGGAATGAAGAGAAAGCAAGTGTGTGTGTGTGTGTGTGTGTGTGTGTGTGTGTGTGTGTGTGTCAATCAAATCAGTCTAGTGAGTGTGTCACTTATTCAGTGATGTTATGCAGGAGAGGGAGCCCAGCAACAGTGCTGTCCTGCAAGGGAGCAAGGCACAGGGAGCGCTCCTGGCCTGAGGTGAGGGTGCAGGCACGACTTTTGGTGGACAGAAAGCTTGACCCAGCAGCTAGAGGCCTGCAGGGAACAGAACCTTAGCCAGGGAATTGGGCAAAAACTCAGCTCTGTGTGGGATTATATCTGCTACCACGAAACCAGAGCCCAAGGGCCGGAGTGATAGCACAGTGGGGAGGGTGTTTGCCTTGCACGCAGCAGACCTGGGTTCGATTCCCAGCATCCAGATGGTCTCCTGAGCACCGCCAGGAGTAATTCCTGAGTGCATGAGCTGGGAGGAACCCCTGTGCATCACCGGGTGTGACACCCCCCCCAAAAAAAAAGGAAAAGAAAAGGAAAAAAGAAACCAGAGCCCAATGCCAGCATCGAGGGATGGCAGGCAGGGGAGGGCAGAGGAGAGAAAGAAGGGAGGTATCAGGAGAAGGAAGCTCACACACGCTAGACACATGATCCCTACAGTCAGGGCCCAGGAGACCTGATGGCCCTGCGTCCTGCACACCCCTCCGCTGGCATCACTGACTCTGGTTCTGGTGACAGATCTGCACTGGCCAAGGGCCGTGAGTGTCTGCTCTCCTGTGGCCCTCTTCTACCCTTGAAGAACAGAAGTCAAGAACTGTGACAGCCGAGAGACCCATGTGTGGGGGCAAATGAGTGGAAGCCCAAGGTGCATTTCTTTGATTTTTTCTTTTTTGGCATTTTGGGCCACGCGATGCTGAGGGGTTCCTCCTGGCTCTGCACTCAGGAATCACTCCTGGTGGACCTCAAGGGATCCTATGGGACGCCGGGGACCAAACCCCAGGTCAGCTGTGTGCAAGGCAAACACCCTCCCTGCTGTGCTGTCACTCTGACCCCAGGGTGCATTTCTGCGAAGAGTTCAGATCCTGAGGACACAGAGATGGAAGAGGAGAGACATTTTTCCTCTCCACAGCGGGGTTCCCAGAGCCTGTCCCGGCAACCAGTGAGAGTCCACGGATCAGGGACCAAAGCTTGGGGGAGGGCTTTGTTGGAGGTGGACTTGCCCTGTCCCCAGGGCGGGCCGGGCGGGTGGGCAGCCTGGGTCAGGGGTCAGGGAAGCTCAGGCAGGCAGGGGCTGAGGAACAGCCTCCCTGCTAGGACCCCTCTCCTTCCACAGCAGCAGGGGGCGACGAGATTCTTTGAAGGGAGCCTCCGCTGCTCCTGGGTTAACCAGAGCCTCTAGGTAGCCCCGTGGGTCACTGTGGGCAGGCGGGAGCTCACCACCCCAGACTGGAGGGCAGAGGAGCCCTTGGGAGGTGGCAATCTGGGTCCTGGTGTCCTGGGCCTGTCCCAAAGACTGGCGTCTGGGGACATTTGTGGCGATGAGGTGTGGGTGGAACGTGTGATGCCAGGGTAAATGCAGTCACGCGCAGCTTTCAAACAGGATGTTTCTGCCACTTTTAGCTCTTCCCCAGACAGACTGGACAGCCCTGGCCTCAGAGAGGGCTGAAG